AAAAAAAAAAAAAATAAAAAATTTTAAAAAAAAAAAGATAAAATAAAGTAAAAACACTGAAAGTTTACATTTTATAATAACATTATTATACAGATTGTATTTAAACGTCAGAATATTTAAGACAATTGTAACCCTGTAAAGTGAAAAAAAATTAAAAAAAAAAAAAAAAAAAAAAAGCTGTGTTGTTTGGGGATTTTGGCCCTGGGGGGAACCAGGGTTACCCAGGGGTGCCCAGGGGGCTGTGGGCTGTCCATAGGGTGTCCTTATGGATGTGGGGTGTCCATGGGCCTACAGTGTGTCTACAGGGCTGTGGGGTGCTCATGGAGTTCAGACGAAGCTATGGGTGCCAACAGGGGATCCATAGGACTGTGGGGTATTCATGGGATTCCTAAAGGGCTGTGGGGTGTCCAAAGGAGTATGGGGTGTCCATGGGGTCCCTATAGAACCATGGGGTGTCTGCAGGGTGCGCACAGGACTGTGGGGTGTCCATGGGATCTCTATAGGGTTATGGGGTGCCCTGGGGGTCCCTATAGGGTTATGGGGTGCCCTGGGGGTCCCTGTAGGGTTATGGGGTGCCCTGGGGGTCCCTCTGGGGTCCGCACGGGGCTGCGGGTTTTCATGCAGTGCCCCTGGTCACCCATCCAGGGGCGGCCGGGGCGGACCCTGCTGAGCTTCCTGCCGCGTGCGCAGCTCCCGCCCCGCGCGGCGGCGCGGCCGCGGTGGCGCCGCTGCTGATTGGCCGGCGAGGGGCGGGGGAGGCGGCGCTCTGGGCCGCGGCCGCGCTCTCTGTGGCCCTGGCGGACCGCGAAGATGGCGGCGCCCATGGAGGTGGCGCTGGTGTCGGACGCGGCGGGGCCGCTCTGCAACTGCTCGGTCTGGGAGCTGCACTCGGGCTCGGCCCTGCCCGGGTACCGCGGCGGCAACAGCGGCCCGCGCGGGCTGGCGCTGCTGGGCGGCGAGCACCTGCTGGGGGCCCAGCTCGGCAAGAGCTACATCAACGTCTGGGAGCTCCAGAGGAAGGTACCGGCGCGGCGGGCGGGCCCGGGCGGCCTCGGCTCGGGGGGCGCCCCTGGGCATCGCGGGTCCGGTGGGGGTGTGACGGGGCCTCCCTCCGTGGGAACCCCCCGGCCCTGTGGTGAGGGGCTCCTCCGTCCACAGAGCCCCCCCCTCCATGGTCAGCCCCTCCCTTGGCCCCTCTCTCCACAAAGACCCCTCATGGTCCCTCTCTTCGTAGAGAGCCCCTCTATGGTCAGACACCCTCCTAACGGCCCCTCTCTCCGTAGAGACCCCCCTCTGTATGGTCAGACACACCCCCATGACCCGTTTCTCCACAAAGGCACCCCCATTTCCATGGCCAGACCCCCAGGCCTCCCCTCCCTCCTTTCCATTCTGACCCCCATCACCACAGGCAGGTGCCCCCCATCCCTCTCTCTGCAGGACCCTCCCGTGAGACCCCTGAGCCCCCACCTCGGGGGTCCTGCCTGCAGCCCCTTCCCCGCTGTGCTGAGTGCCCGCTGTGCTCTCTCTGCCCCAGGACCAGCTGCAGCAGAAGATCATCTGCCCCGGGCCCGTGACCTGCCTGACGGCCTCTCCCAACGGGCTCTACATCCTGGCGGGGGTCGCCGAGAGCATCTACCTGTGGGAGGTACGGGGTCCTGGGGGGCTCGGGGACGTGCAGACCCACACCCTGGGCAGTCAGGGAGTGCCCTGTCCTTTTGGCAGTGCCCCCATCCCTCAAGTGACCCTACATCCCCAGTCCCAGGCCTCTGCAGCCTGTGGGGCAGCTCGTCAAAGCAGGAGGGGGAGAAATTCCGGGAGAGGCTTCGCTCTGCCCTTTCCTTCTCTTTCCAAGAGGCTCCTGGTGACTCGGGGGCCGGGTGTTGCTCCCTCGAGGCAGCAGTGCAGGACCTGGTTTTTCTCCAGCGCTTCTCCCACATTTCAGCTCTGTGTTTGTGTGTGCCCAGGGTGTCAGCAGCCCCTGCTGTGCTCTGGTTGTTGTCCTGCTGGTTAATTACTCCTGGATTACGTGGGATTACGCTGCGTTCCCAGCACACCACCGAGCAAATAAAAGCAGTAGCTTGTCCTGAGCCCGGGATTAAACCCCAGGATGCCTCACCTGGAGAGCTCCCTGTGTCAGGGGAGGTTTGAGCCTCGTGGTGTGGGCGGCTCTACCTGAACTCATCAGGGACCAGAGGTCTGAGCCCGCAGCAGTGGGAGATGCTGCTCGTGGTGCTCCCAGCTGGGCCCTGCCCTGCCTCCCCTCACCTGCAGACATCTTCCAGGGTATGGCACTGTGTTCCAGGGTATGGCACTGTCCCCCTGGCACGTGGGAGGGGTTCCATGGAAACCATGATGGAGCTGGAACCAGCCCCCAGAGTCCTGGTCTTGTGCTGTCTGTGAAACCCCCTGAACTGTGGTTTAGTTTGATTTTTGGGTGTAATTCATACAACAGGAGGGAATCAACTCCATTATTTTATTTGAGGCTCACTTGCTGCTTTGTTCCTTCCACATCTGCAGTGTTGCCTTCTTACAGGAAATGCTCCAGGTTTGGGGAATTCCTTGTCCACCCTGAAGCCTCCACTGGCCCGGGATCACGAGCACCCCTGGGGTGTCACACAGCCTCCTGCAGCTCTTGTAACCCTGCTGCCACCTCCTGAGGGCTTGTGGGAGGTGGGAAGAAACCACCAAAGTAATATGAACCTTAGGAGGGAACAGGAAATCTTTACTGCACGCTTGTGTCTGAACCAGAGAAATGGCTCTGGCATCACTAGGTTCCAGAGTTAACGTGCCAGGACCTCTCCCACTGCTGTTGTGCTGCATTTCCCTGCAGTCCTGGCACATGTGGTTGTTCCAGCTGCACCTCCGTGGTGTCAGTCGCTGCCCGTGAGGTGCCAATGGGCTCCTGTGCTCGACAGAACCTCCCCTTCATCCCTGCTGCACTGAGGGCAGGGCACCACGTTATCCTGGGACATCTCAGTCCTTGACAATCTCTGCCCTTCCCCTCACTCCAGGTATCCAATGGGAACCTCCTTGCCATCCTGAACCGACACTACCAGGACCTCACGTGCCTCTGCTTCACCGACGACAGCAGCCACTTCCTCTCGGGGGCCAAGGACTGCCTGGCCCTGGTGTGGAACCTCTACAAGTAAGGGGGTCGGGGGGCACAGGAAGCATCAGGGTAGGGGTGTTGGAGCGAGAGATCCCCGTGTCCTGTAGGCAGGATCAGCTCTGGCCGAGCCCACGTGTCCCAGCTGGGTCTGTGCCAGCCTTGGGGGCTCTTCCACAGGTGGCGTCCTCCGGGCAGGGAGGTTTTCCCTGGGGTCTCACGGGTCTCTTGGGAATGGCATATGGCTCTGACTTCTTTTCCTGGGTGACACAGAGTGGATTGTGCCCTTCCCTTGCCAATGGCAGCCAATGTCTCTGTTCCTCTGGGATGGGGAGCTCAGCTGTGGCCCTCAGCCTTAGTATCCACGTGCTGTGGCCGCCGGCAGCTCCCGTGTCCCGCTTGGTGCCTGCAGCCAGGAGAGCAGCCAGGAGAGGCAGCAGGAGCAGAGCCTGGCCCAGCTCCCCACGGCTCTGCCCTGGCTGACCCACCGTGCTGCCCCTCTCTGCTCTCCCCACAGTGTCCTGCAGGCAGAGCCCTCCCAGATCCCCGACCCCCGGCACGTCTGGTCCCGGCACAGCCTCCCCATCACCGACCTGTGCTGCGGCTTCGGAGGGCCCCTGGCACGGGCTGCCACTGCTTCCCTCGACCAGACAGCCAAGGTGAGGCTCATTCCAGAGGTGCCAGACCCTGCAGGGTCAAAGCCGGGCTCCACCAGGCAGCAGGAAGCTGTCCCTGTCCCCAAGCTGTCCCAAAGCTTTCCCAGGTTGCAGAGGCTGAATTTCTTGGCTGTCTCTGCAGTGACTCAGAGCTACCAGACCTGGGCTCTGCTTCTCCAACACCAGCAGTTTCTCTGCACCTGCCCTCGGGCTGAGCCGCTGCAGTCCCTGTTCTCCTGGGAATGTCAGGGTCAGCTCCTCTGATTCCCACTGCTGATGTCCACAGGGAGCAGAGCAGGCTGGAGCCTGTAGGGAGAGGGGTACCCTGGGGGCAGGGTGGGCACGGAGAGGGTTCAGGGCTGTTGTGGAGCTGCCTTGGAAACTTCTCTCCTGGCCACAGAGAGGCTGATGCTGGTTCTGCCCTGTTTCTGCCTTGCACTCAGTTTCCCAGTCCCAGACAGGAAGGGATGCCGGGGTGGGATGCCAAGGTGCCAGTGTGGGATGCCAGGGTGTCCTCCAAACCTGTCATTAACATTCCATGATTTCCTGTCCCTTCTCATGCCAGCTCTGGGAAATCTCGTCTGGGGAGCTCCTGCTTTCTGTGCTCTTTGACGTGGGGATCATGGCTGTGACTCTGGACCTCTCAGAGTACCACATGTTCTGTGGTGGCATGGATGGGTCCATCTTCCAGGTTGATCTTTGTGCTTGGGTGAGTGTGTGGGGCTGTGGGTGTGCCCTGTCACCCCGAGCCACCATCACTTCCCTGCTGGGACTGGTGTCACCTGCCAGGGCACGGGAGGGCCTAGGTCCCTCGCGTCTCCCCTGCCCCCTCCAGACACGGTGATGAACCTGCTGGCTTCAGCCTTCCTGAATTTTAACCCCTCTCCCTTCCTTCCTTCATTTCTGCAGCCAGTCCAGAGAGACCGGACCTTCCAGACGGAGCGGGAGAACGGGAAGGTCTTCAAAGGGCACAGGTGAGGGACCAGACATACCTGCCAGCCACCATCTGCCCCCATCTGCCCACCTCACCGGCTTCTGGCAGTCCTGGGGTCATCTTGAGTTTAAACATCCTCTTCCCCATTCCAGGAACCAGGTGACGTGTCTGTCTGTCTCCACGGACGGCAGCCTCCTGCTCTCGGGCTCTCACGACGAAACCGTCCGGCTGTGGGACATCCAGAGCAAGCAGTGCCTGAAGACCATGAATCACAAAGGTAGGAATGTCCTTATCTCCAGGATCCTTGCTGCCAGAGGCCACTGCTGTCTCACCTGTGCTGCCCTGGGCACTGCAGGGGTGTCTCTGCCCCGGGAAGGGCAGAGGCGTGTGAGGGAGCCTTGGCTGTCTGGAGCGATGCCGTGTGTTAATAACCCCCCACCCTGTGCGCTGTCGGGAGTGAGTCATGGATTTCACCTCGTCACTGAGGTCACCCGGGATCTTCCTCCTTGTTTTCCCAAGGGAGCAGTCACCCCACACACACCCTAGCTGTGTCTGGAGGGGACATGGCTCCGTGACCCCGCAGTGAGCACCCATGAGCTCATGGGGCCTGAAGCGAATCCCATATGAGCAGTCGTCTGGGATTTCAGTCTGATGGCTCTCATAAACTCTGTGGAGCAGCAGTCAGGTGCCTCAGAGCAAGGGGACCTTTACCCCTCCTGTTGTTAACTGGGTTCCTTCTCCAGTCCCTGGTGCCATCCTGGCCAGTGGGGTTGGCACCGCTGCTCTCAGGCATGGCCCTGGAAGGTGATGGCGTGGACAGCCAGACCCTGTTCCCCTGCAGTGGTTGGGCTGCTGCCTCGAGGCAGTCTCTAGAAGCCAGGCTGCCTCCAGACCCTTTCCCTCTTCCCTCTGGCTGCCAAGGACCATCCCTAATTAGGACCCACTGCAGCACCCATCCAGCCTGGCACCGCTGGCATTAGAGGGTGAAAACAGACGGAATCAGAGGAGAGTGCCTGGACTGGGCTCTTCCCAGGAGGGGCAGGACCAGGCTGACCCCAAGCTGTGGGTGCTCTGCAGTCTCTTCTGGCTCCCTCTGCTGCCTGTGGGCAGGGATTTGGCTCCCCTGGCAGCCCTGGCACCAACACCACCCCGCTGCGCTGTGTGTGCTCTGCCAAGCCCGGGAGCGGGCTGGGAGCCCACCACCCCCAAGTAGTGTCCTGGGTCTGGGGTCCCTGCAGCTTCCCTGCATGGGGGGCTCTGCTGCCCCAGCCCGACCCTCACTCTGTGGGGCAACGCTGGTGTCCGTGGGTCCTGTTCTCCCTTGGCCTGTCCGAGCAGCAGCGTGAGCCCCTGGCAAGGTCTATCCCTGCCACCCTGTGCCCTCCAGTGCATCCCACTCCCTCCCCAAGGCAGGGGTGACACGGGCTCTGCTGTGGTGACATGACAGCAGCCTCCAGCCCAGTGTCCTCAGGACAGCGTGGTCCCTCTCACACGGGTGGCCGGGGGCACGCAGGGCCTGCTGCCCTCCCTCCCCTCTTGACGCTGATCAGAGGAGCTGGAGTGTGGCTTGGGGCCAGGCATGACCCCAAGGGTGGCTTGTCCTTGGTGGAGACAGAGCGTGGGCAGGCAGGTGGGCTCTGAGAAGTTGAGCTGTGCTGGCGAGGCATGGCTGCTCCCTGTCACCGCATGGCCGGCACCACTCTGGGGGGAAGCAGGAAACCTCCACTGCCCCCAAATCCCTCCAGGCCTCTATTCCAGTCCTGCCACACGAGCTCCATCCTTGTCTCTCCAAACACAGAGTGGTAGCAGTGGCTGAGCTGCTGGAGGGGGGCTGGGGGGCAGCTGTGTCTGACAGGGAGAGCTCCGGGCGTGGGGGCAGCGGTGGGAGTTTGCAGCGAGCACGAGTTGGGAGGGGGTGGAGGGGGCTGCTCCAGAAAGCAGCCGCCTGTGTGGGTAAATGCTGTAATTAACACGCTCATTAGTTCTGCAGGTGAGAGGGGTGATGGATGTGGCAGCACAGAGCCGCGGGCAGGGCGGTGCTGATGAACGGCAGCTCTGGGGGGGAGGTCGAGCCCCCACTCCCCTCGGGTGGCCGGACCCGGGGGTGTCCCGGGGGTGCTGGGCCTGGGGCGTGGAGCCGCAGCCCCGGGCAGGAAGGCGGCTGGGGAGGGAGAGAGAGTCCTGGCCACTGCCTGCACCAGGTCATACTCGCTGTTAAGGCCCCAGCCAGAGGCAAACCCGCTGGGGTCCAGCCTGACCTGTCCCCACTGTCCCGTGCCAGGTCCGGTGACAAACGCCTTCATCGTGCTGGCCCCTGCCAACATGTTCAACCCCGACGGGAAGCCCAGCGTGCCCCTGCCCAAGTTCAGCAAACACCTGCACGGCACCGAGAGCAGCGACGAGCCGGGTGCCGAGGGGGTGACGCTGCGCCTGGGGCTGCACCAGCAGGTACGGGGGAGAATGGGGGCTGGGGAGGGGGGACAAACATCGGGGAGGGGTTGTGCTGGAGCAGAGCTTCTCCTCCAGCTGATGAAACCCGTTCCTGCTCCCTCCCCGTCCTGGCTGCTGCAGTCATTTGTCCTCCCAGCCCCATGCTGCAGCGTGGGCTGGCTCTGCTGTCCCACCACTTCCTCGGTTCTGGTGTGGCCGTCCCCTGGCCACCAGCTGGGGGTCCCACACCATCAGTGTTCTGTCCATTGTGACCTCTCTGACGGTGGTCCCAAAGCTGCTCCCCTCTGCCAGCGTCTGTCCCTGGGCGAGTGACAGTGACAGTCCTGTCACAGCTGATGGATGAGCTCCCTACTGGGGAGGTGGCAGCAGGCCAGGGGGCCTGTTTGCCTGGCATAGGTGACAGCAGGATCACCCTGGGTCCCTCCCACAAGGAGCCCTGCCCAGGGCCACTGGGAGAAGGTCCATGTCTGCTCTGCCAACCCCTCTGATCTGGTCCGTGCAGGAGCCCGGGCAGAGCTACCTGGAGAAGGCAGAGAGGATGTACTCGCAGATGTACTTGACGAGGGAAAAGGTGAGAGCTGCTCCCAGGCTGGAATCGGGCACAGACCCCTTGGGGGGTCCTTGTCAGCTGATCTGACTTATGGGGTCTGGGGCAAGTCAGGAATTGGGGGGAAGAGCCCTGGAATCTGCTGGTGACATGAGCAGGAGGTGTTGCGGCTTGAGAAGGAGGAGGGAGAAGACTGAAGGGTTTGGGGTTTCCTGTTGTGGAGGGAGCAGCAGCCTCCACCTGCCAGAGCTGAGACACTGATGCTTGTCTGTTGTGTTTTCCTGGCGCAGAACCTGGTGGGAGACCAGGAGCACCTGACGATCCAGGTGAGCGAGCTGGAGGAGGAGGTGAGCAACCTCCGGAAAATCAACAAGGACCTCTTTAACTTCTCCGCTCGCATCATCACCAATCCAGCCAAGTGAAGAGGCTCCCCCCGCCCTCGCACCCCTCCACCTCTCCCTGCCCGCCCTCGGGCACCTGCCCAGCCGGCAGAGCACACCCGGCCCATCCCCTGACCCGGCACACGCCGCCCGCTCGGGGACACGGGACTGAGCCCGGCACGGGGGCTGCGGGCGGGACAGCACAGGGACCGTGTTCACCCCGACCCGGGGCCGGGGGCACTCGGGGGCACTCGGGCGGCCGCTGCGGGAGAGCTCAGGATGCAGCTCCTGCTCGTTCCCCGGCTCTTCCCCTGCCCCTTTTTTTGTTTCTTTTTGTTACTTGACCCTGCAGTGCAGACAGAAAAGTGTTTTTCTCTCAATACCGTTTTGAGATTGGATTTTGGAGACCCCCTGCCGCCCACCCTGCCCCGGGGGTCACTGCCTGGCGCTGCCGGACCCCGCTCAGTGGGACCCTGCGCTCGGGACGGCGGGGGCTGAGCAGCTCCTGCTCCGGGGGTGCCCGGGGCAGTGGGGTCTGAGGCAGGCGGGGGGTCCCTGGGTACCAGGGCTGAGGAGGGGGCACCCACCCTGTCCAATGGGCAGGGCCTGGGGGAGTCCCTGGGCTCAGAGTGCGGGTGGTGGTTTTGGGGCACAGGGTCACTCTGGGGAGGGGCAGGGGGGGCCAGCAAGGTGCTATTTCCAATCTCGTCAGTTGACAATTTATATATATTTGGATCCAACGACTCTGTTTTCACGGTGTTTGGGGACTCGGCCTTTTGTATTGTCACAGCATGGCAGCGGGGGTTGTGGGTTTTGTTTAGGTTTATTTTTTACATAAAAGATTTGTTTTTATAGTGAAAGATGCCCAAGTTTCTTTCTTTAACACCCCTTGGGTGGCCACAGGCCTGAACCACCCATCACTGTCCCCGGGGCTGCCCGCTGGGAGCAGGGAAGCAATTTCTCATCCCCGAGCTGCCCAGTCACCTTTGCCCCAGAGGTCCCTCCTTGCCCCTGTGGGGTGTCGAGGTGTCCCTTGCCCCCCCCCTGTCCCCCCACACCCTGTTCAATATACCAGACCCAAGTGCAGATGATTTAAAGTGCACTTTAAAACCAGAGTGTCCGTGTGGCCCTGGCTCCTGCCAGCTCCCCAGAAAATGCTTTTAGCTTAATCACCCGAGTCCGTTCCTTTTCCTTCCTCTCCTGCTCCTCATCTTCCTCCTTTGGATCCTGACACTTTGGATCAACATTCATCAGCTGCAGCAGGGAGCATCGCCCTGAGCCGGGGGCTGCAGTGGGGGCAGAGATGGAAGCATGTCCCTGCTGCAGGGAGCCCCCCAAGATCCCTGGGGATACAGCCCCCAACCAAACCCAGACCTCAGTGCTCCCTTCCAGTCATCCCACACTTTCCCAGTCCCTCAGTGGGGTTCCTGTCAGGGTGCTGCACTTGGACAGAGCAGGAGGGAGGATGGGCCTTCCCAACTGTGCTGTACCCAGCATTTGGGGGGCTATTTCATACCGAGATCATGTTGTTCCCCCTCCCCAGCTCCTGCCCGGACAGTGGGTGCTGTGCCACACTTATCCCTGTGGGAAAGAGGTGCCAAGGGCTCCTCTGTCAGGATCCCACTCCGGGGGGGATCAGCACTCCCTGACCCTCTGTGCCCTGGCAGGATTCGCTCTGCCCTCCCCCTTGGGTCCAGCTCCGCAGAGGAATTCATTAGGCTGTGACTCATTACATTTGTCTGTGGATCGATACTTTTTGCCAGATGGTTTTTGGCTCCATCCTTCGCTTTTCCTTATTAATTTCGTGCAGCTCCGGCCCCAGTCGCTGCTGTTTGTGCTGCCGGTGGTGGGGACCTCCAGGCTGGGCCAGGCCCCAGTTTCCCTGGTGAGGATGAGGAGGGTGACCCCACGACTCCCCCCTCAGCGGGAGAAGGCTGTACCTCTGCTTCCCTTGGCCCCTTCCCCACACAGCAGGATGAATCCCTCGGCCCCGGAACCCCCCGGCCTTGAGACCCCCGGATTTTGAGGCTGTGTCTCAAACTGTGGAGGGATAGAGGGATGGGGGGGAAGAGGGGGGTTACCGGGACGGGGGAGACAATTTACGGCTCCTGCCCCGGCTCAGGGACCGCCCCGAGGGGCTTTTCCCGGGCCGGAGAGGGAGGAAGAGGAGGAGGAAGGTCCATGTGGTCTAAAGGCGGCCGGGACCACCCAGAGAACAGCGGGGGTCCCTGTGCCGGGGGTCCCTGTGCCTGTGCTGCCCTCGGACGGCAGCACCGCGCGGGCGGGGGCCCCCTTTTCTGCGGGGTGCGGCGAGGGGGACCCGCGTGGCGCGTGGGCGTGGACGGGGCGGCTGCGGGCGGATCCGGCGCTGCGTGGGCCGGGTCCGGAGTGACCCACCGCGCACCGGGGGCTCGGCGCTGCCCAGCGGGGGCCCGGCGGGACCCGACCGGTCCCTGTCCGCAGCCGGGGTCCGCCCCGGAGCCGTCCCCGGCGGAGCACAAAGCGGCGGGGCCGGTGCGGGGCCGGTGCGGGGCCGGTGCGGGGCGCATGGAGGGGCTGCGGGCGCTCTGGCTGCTGGCGGCGGCGCTGGGGGCGGCGGGGGG